GGCCTTAAGCAGGATCGGTTGGACTTATCTAACAAGGACATATAAGGACACTTATTACCTACCTATATTTAGTCTTACTTGTTCTTCGTGATTAATACTATTATTATTCTAAGTGCTACCTTTAGATCATTCTGATTCAGGACTCTTGTAATAACACTTCATCTAGTACTTCTTAACAGGCTTCGTCATACGTGGTGAAGGCTGGCCTTGCTTTGTTCCACCTCAGCCACCCAGACCGTGACTAGTCTTTATACTAGTTGGACGTTGAGCACACTTGAGTAAGTCAATCCATTATCAGGGCTTAGGTCAAGACGATCCCAAGGTTTAGGAAGGCTTGAGAGGTCAACCTTCCGTAACACGGTTCTGCGCCTCTACTTTATCTATGATAATATACGACTTCTTCTACTTAATCTCTACTAGTTCGCTCTATATAGCTACTAGAAAGTCTTAACTAAGTAGATACTTCTATTCTTCTAACTAATTGCGTGGCTCTAGAGGCATCTAGGTTTAATAGAATTATTTAATCATTTTAATAGCATTTATGTGTGGATTATTAATGTATAGTAATTAGAAGTAATTATTATTACTATCCACTTTAATATATTAAGCTTGAAGGTTCTGGTTATTTCTACGGGTTCTGGTTTGATTACCCGTAATAATATTCTTCTGCGAAACATCTAAGCCAGGCTACCATGGCATATCTATTATATCTTCTTAACCCCCTGAACCAGACTCCGCAGTAGAAGAAGAATTTAGACGTGTGGATTATTATATAGGTTTAGTAGTAGCTTACTAGAGTGATTCCTAAAGTGCCTAGCTTAGTAATAGAGGATCTAGCGCTGCTGGCGCTAGTGATAACAAGGTATCCACGCGAAGCTGTGTCGGGAGCTGTATAGGGGTCTAAGACCCTGTGGGTGATGTATTTAGTGTAGGGTCGTCATCTAGGAATACTCTAGGCGTAATTTATTACATTAAAATATTCTAGGCTGGAGTCAGCGTTGCTTCTAGACTAGGAAGGATGGGGTGGTTAAAGGTTATTCCCGCGTAGAAAAATGTTATTCCCCGCCTCTATTATCTTTATTTCTAATATTAATTAACCTTCCTCTAGTAGCCTCTAGCACCCCCTTAGCTTCGACCCTCTTATACGACGTTAATATGGCACCTAGATCAGCTATAGGTAGCTCATTCCAAGCGTCTTGAATAGTAAATAACAGGGCGACTTCTACGGCCATGCGAGGCAGCGTAGTTTTAGAGAAATTAGTTAGTAAAGGTTATAGAGGATTATAATAAGATTCTTCCTAAAATATCACATCTCTAGCCTGTATAACCTTCTTCTAAGCTAGCAACTAAATATCCCATATATTTAACGCGTCGTAGGCCACTAGATAGCCTAGTTTAGCACGTGGTTCGAATTTCATTGAGCGTTTAATGTTGTCATGGATATACGCGGCGGATCTAACTATATAGTAGTTTAATATGTTAGGTTTCTAACCCGTAAGTACTTCGTACGGCTTCTTCTAACCTAAACGCTTTGTTAGGGTCCTGTTTAGTTAGTTGTCAGATAAGTCCAACCGATCCTGCTTAGGCCTGGAAGGGCTTAAGGTATTCTTATATCGATGTGAGAAGACTGCTTCTTAACGAACTAAGAAGGTGAACTTGGGGTTTCTAAAAGGTAGGGTAGCTTTGATTCCGAAAGTAACAGACAGTAACTAAAACTAATTACATACGTGAACGAGTGTTCCTAAATACTATTCTTCAACGTAGTAAACATATCGTTCCTGCTATGTCTGCTGTGTGGGTAGACATATTGAACATATCGCTTTCGCTATGTCGCGATTGTCGCGCAACTCTTGGCACATATCGATACCTTCGTATCGCTATGTCGCCCGGATCAACCTTGTTCCGTCCTGTCGACGTGACAGCACGTCAACCGTAATCTTACGAGGTAAATCCATTGGCTGACAACATCCCGTCTCTTAGCGCGGCTCTCTGACATTAGTATACTGCCGCTTTAACGAGCCATGGCTATAGTTCGTGCGGTAATTAAGTAGCAATCTAGATTCTTTAGGTTCTCGTGATAATTATGCCTCTAGATTGTTCTATAAATCTGTTCTGCTCTAGCGTGCCTGGCACGCTTATCTAGTGTATAATCCCTTTACCTGATATAAAGGTCTTAAAGTCCCTCCCTAGGGATACCTTATTATTAGAGAAAATAGTCTTAACTTTTTGTTCCTACTGGCGTCTAACTAGCTAGACGAAATCTTTAATCTTTGCTACACATTCATTCTTCTAATAATGTGTATAGGCAAAGTGCATGCCAGTGACCTCCTCATATAGATGGGTGACGTATTGATAACCATTCAGCCCGGGGTTAATGGTAATAAGGTTAAAATAGACCCTTCTAAATGGCTCTATTACCCTGCGCGCATCTCATTAAGATATCTATTAATCTACTTTAGCTATACGACATGTATAATAGCTAGTATTTCTAAATAACTCTCACGTTGAAATATCTATCATTTTAATGCCTTGAACTACTATGGGTAATTTCTCTAAAGCTTTAAAGCTTATATATCTATAGTGGTCATGCCACCGCTTCATATCCCCTTTTAAAATAACTAGTTTTAAGGATGACTAGACTAGGAAGACAGTAAGGTCGCGTGGGCAGTTAGTTTCAATATACTAGAGGTGGTTAATATATTAAAGATATAGAATATCTCGCCTCCATGCCGTCGTACGACGTCATACTCAAGGTCTAGGAACACGCCCGCCTTCTGCATTGCACTAGCAGAGACGATATTAGTGTGGAAACCAGGGATATAGTAGACATTATTAATTAACATCTCCTTCCCCTTTTAGTTAGGTTAGATTATTACTATTCTAATGCCTTGGACATCCACGCTAGTATTCCCTAACTTAATGTATTCCTCATGGGGCCTATAGCTATTAAACCATTTAAGGTTATTACACACGCTTATTTAACCACCTATATTAATAATCTAGGAGTCTTCTTTCTATACATTAATAGTAGAGGTCGGCATTACTATATTAGTAAGAACACTAAACGTGACCTTATTATAGTTAACGCTTGTGGAGTTATTAGATGATTAGTTATTACTAAGGTAGTGCTTTAAGATTTAACCTTTGAAGCTATTTACCTTGATTTCCTTTATTACACGACTAATGACTTTAGGATCTAGTTAGTGGTCTGCTAGATAGCCTTTAGTATCCTTATTAATGTGCTAGTAGTCCGTATAGAAGTGGTTCTTGCCGCATATATATTTTAGAGGTTTCTGGTGAGAGTTTTGACCATTTAGTTAACCTCTAGAATGTTATTGTTTGTTAGGTTAACCTTTAAAGGTTCTATATATAGCGTTGTGAGCTTCTAGAGTGTTCTAGGTGATTAGATATTAATAAAATCCTACTATAAGGTTAAAAAGGTTAGCCCTGTATCCTATATTTATTATATCTTCAAGATGACGATCTGTAAAGCTAGGAAATTAATACTTTATTCTATCTAGAAAGACTTTTCCTACTTACTAGGTATCCTAGTGGTTCCCACGAAGCTTTATTATTAAACCTATAGCTACTTCGAACTTGGTGATCTAATTATCTATAGGTCTAGCATTGACCTTGCTATCCTTCGCGGCGTTATATTAGATTGACGCGCTAATCTTCTGTTCTTCTAGTGATAGAGTAAAGTCGTCCTTTAGCTTCTTTAATAAATCATATAGATTAGTTAAGGAATATAGGCTATGCGAGTCCTTAAGCAGACGACTAATTAATAATATAATCTAGTTGTATACGACAGCTCGTCCTTTCTAGAAAAGGATATATTAGCTATTCTCCACATTAAATATCATTACTTGATGATTATATCGCTAGGACGATACATTTAGACCTAGTGCCTCTGGGATAGGAGGTTATTAAGGCACCACGGGTTTTGGTATGATGTTAGGATTAATGTATTCCCATATTCCTGTGAGGATCGCAGATATCTATATAGCTTCATACTATAACCACTAGTCGTCCTTGCTATTCAAGACGACTGAGACCTTAACAGCTTGGCTATGAAGTGAAATATCCTCTATATTAACGGACCAGAGCTACACTAGTTCAGGGAAAGTTTCGCGCGTAATTAGCAAGGTTAGAATAGCTTCATAATAAGCCTATTTAGGTAATAAAAGGTCTAGAGGTGGGTTATAGGAGCGAAGAATATTCCTAGCAACCCAGGCTCATAACTATCAGCCGGGCCATTAATCTATAGGGAGGATCTGAAGAAGTTAAGAGGTCTATTATTCTAAATAACTAGGGAAACGGCACTATTTAAGCACAGGAACCGACTAAACTAAATAAGGAAATAGGGTCTATCCACTATTACTACTCTAATCGCTGTATCTCGTGAGTCCTGAGAGGAATGTTCGATGGAATGGTGAGAGGAATGCTTGCGCGGGGTCCGGAGCCAGGGGCTCCGGCCGACAGGATACAAGGGCTACGGTGTCGGGGGAGGAACACTATGGCGAGAATTTAGGCTAGTCTCAATGCAATCGGTCTGCTTCTCAAAGAGATACGGCGCCTCGAATAGCTTCATGTAACAAATCAGAAGTTTGCCTCTCGCGATAATGGTATGGTGCAATCGGCCTAGGGCGGCTTTTCTTTTGCGTGGCGGTCCAGTCGGGGTACAGAAGGTGACCTGGTTTCTCGAAGGCCCTGAGCGATTATAATCTGTCACTCAGACATAACAATAACACATCCCGTCTCCGTCCAAGAGCAAGGCTGACATTTGAAGCTGTGGAGAGGATCGCCAGCTGTCTATTCCTTTTCCGGTATAGCTCTAGGGCCACGGCCACGCTTGCTGAAAGTGGGGAAATATCAGGGGGAGCGGCTGAAGCGCAAGTTCTGCAAAACCACAAGTTTTTCCCCCCTCGCAGAGTTAATGCAAATAATTCTCGCGCTGTACTGAATGTTCGAATGAGGTCCGCTACCTAAGCCGGCGCCCCCACCTGGCAGGGGGCCGAATTTCACTACAGCCCCCACCGAGTGGATGGATATCCAAGGGCTGAATCAGATGATTGGCGACTATACTTCAGACACTCTATAGCTGACACGCCGGAACAATTGTCGGGAAATTGTCCCAGAGAAACATAAAAGATGATCATTGTCCCGGTGCAGTAGTTATTCCATGCAGGCCTTGCCCCCTTGACACAATGCTCGCTCAAGTCCTTACTGCATTATCTGCTAGCATACCTCTCGTTGCTGCAGGCACGCTCTTTGCGTCTGACTTCTCGTCATCTTCGACGGCTCCATTCTCTCTATGCAACTACAAATCTCCTTCCACGGGGACTATCGCAAACCAGGAACTTCATCTTTACTTTGACGAGTCAGGCTACGATGGTACTCGGGACGATAGGGGTGTCGAAATCTGCCGCTTTAACAGCGGGACCAACACCAACACGGCGCAGATGACCAAAGAGGGCTGGCAGGGGTTTAACCTATATGTCCCGGCCAATGGTTTCCCTTCTGACAAGAGTACAATCATCGCGCAGCAGTTTTGTCCCGCGGGCTGCATCTCTTGGTGTGGCACTCTAGAGATTGCCGGGAACGCACTTGTTGTCAACCATCGGTCTGGGTGTGGCGGTGCAACCACTGTCACTATTCTCGACAACGTCCCGCGAAACAAATGGCACGCTGTTGTTATTCGGATGAGGGTTTCGGCAGCATATGATGGTGCCTATGAAGTATGGTGGGATGGGGCTAAGATATATTCTGCGACGGGCATTAATGTTGGCTTTGGCACATGGAATGGTAATGATGGGGTTGAAGAGGGTTGGTATTTCAAGAATGGGATGTATGCTTTTGGTGAGTTTGTTCTTTCCTTTTCCTTTGTTCGGGTTTAGTATTATTCTTCGCCCTTTGCCTTTATTGACGTGACTTGGTTACAGACTATGCAGACTACAACGATGCCACCCGAACCCTCTATTTCGACAATATAAGATGGTACCAGGCAGACAGTGGCGAAAGTGATGGATATGACACCGTTGCTCCTACTAGTTATTCTGAAAAGTTCTAAAAAGCGATGCCATGCTAGACGAGCTTACTCGCACGGACAGTAGCCTGACTTTAGTGCGTCCAGCGCCAGCCTGGATGGCATTGGCCGTACGTCTTGTCGAGGTTGCCCAATTATTCAGTATATGTGTTGTTATTCCTTTGGACTATTTCACGGTTAGGCTATGGTTATTAGCTTTCTTCTATGCTGCGTTGACTGCAAGTGTTGGGCTGGGGGTGGCCCATATATAGTATGATCATTACAAAATACAGTCAGGACCTTGGAAGTCGAATATCAATCGTTCCAGCCCGAGATCGGGACTTGGATAGTTACACACGCCAGATACCCAGGGAGACCTACTAATCGCTTTGGCGGGCCCCTCCCCGTATTGCTCGCCAACATGACGCGGACTCAGATCCACAGTAATGTATACATAGCGGAGAACTCCTCCGGCTGGTGCCGGAGCGCCGTGCGACCTCCAGAGAGGGGAAGCTGGAGAAGTGCGGGGGTCGCTTCGATTTGCCTTCTCGGCAGTACTCCAGGGCCATTCCGACATCCCCGAGCCAGAAGAACGAAACAAACCCGGTGGGGAAATCCAGGAGCCGTATCTTGGCACTGATGTTACAGGTGTCAATCAACCAGGCAATGTTCAGCCCTGTGTCTAGGAGCCTGACCGGGGTCGACGGGATTTCCACTGCCACCCTGGTCGCACAGCGCTCCGACGACCTGGCGGACGAGAAAGAGCCAGGATTGCGCGCGAGGGATATGCACCCCAATCACATTCCGGGTCTGGGGCCCGGTGTAAAGACTGAGGAGTTCTACCAGGGCCGTGGAGTCGCACTCCAATGGCAAAAGTAGCCGAGGGCTCGCAAGGGCACAATGATCGAAGCTGAAGTGACGTTGTAATCAAATATATCCAAATATATCTGCCATATGCATGCGGCCGTATCCTGGCTTTTGCTCTAGCAATCAGAGAGTTCAGCTCGAACGCTCAAACTCCCAACCTTGCTCGGGCCAGTGCAGACCAGTCCTTAAACAAATGCATCAAACATTCGCGTATCGGGACCAAGCTACCATGGGAGGACAACTGGCTGCAAACGAAGGGCTCCCACAATCTGCGATCCAGTTTCATAGCATCATAAACATGTTGGTTATTGGCAAGGCAGGACATCTCGTATTACTTAGACCTCGATGCCAACTCTTTCTCGTTGATGGCTTGCTCTTGCTGCTCGAGACTTAGGTCATCGAAACCATCAGGCAAACCCGGTAAGTCAGGGCCAATCGTGTAACCCTTTGGTGGCGTAAGAAAGTCTGGGAATCGAGCTTGTAGGAATAAAGGGGCGGACTGGGCTGTTTGCTAATTGATGATTCCTTCAATAATACCAGGCTCGTTTGGCGAGACAAAGATATTTCCCAAATGCAAGTCAGTATGCCATATGACGGGTTCAGAAACATCTAGCACGCGTTGGTCGTGTGACAATGTCAGCAGTATCATGTTCATCTTTTCCAAAAGGCTTTTAAATTCATATGTAGATTGCGATTCGTCGAAATTATTGAGTTGACGCTGCACCTCTGCTCTTGATTTTGCAAAACGAGCACACTCTCGCTGGACAGTTGACAATGCATACTCTGGAAAGCCCACCCCTAGGACTAGTCAGCATTGTTCCTTAAATGTCAGACAACAAATATACATACATGGCCCCACATCTTGGGACACTGGCCGAAGCATGTCGACGAAGTTGCCGTGCCACCATGTTCGGTTACACGATGATCCAACGCAAAATAGCCCCTCCGGATCCAGCTCTGGAGGGAGCGGATGCTGTTGGATAGTAGCAGGCAACGACTCGCGAAGGAAAAGACTGCCGTATGCTGGGAAAACTATATTGGAAAGTTCTTTCTCAACCTGTACGACTTGATTGATTATTTGTAGCGCTCCAAGGTGTTCATTGTCGCCCATGTCTCTGCCAAGGCAACCCCACTAATCTTTTCCATTATGATATATTCCGCGCCCACTGGATTGGCAGCATCTGAGTTCCATGCAAAAACCCTCGGAACCCGAATAGACGTTTTTGACTGCACTAGCAGGGAAATGTTAGCTATACATGGGGTCAGGTCATGGACGTGAGCATATAAGACATACAGAATTTCAGAGTAGCAACTTCAGAGGCAGTGGTCAACGATTGGGGACCGGCGTTTGGACAAGGAAGCTTTGCTATGACCTCGTTGCCATCGTTCATGGTAAGGACTAGTGCTTTGTTGAAGTTTCCTTCCAGTTTGACGACGCGAATACACTTTGTTGCGTCACTGAAATGTGCAGCCGCTAGGTGACAAAGATTATCCAGATTAAATTTCACATAACGCATTTGCTGTTGGGCCTTTTCGTCAACGAGCCATCGACCTGAGGTGTAGCGAAAGAGATCGTCCGATTTCTCTGCATCGAACTCAAGATACCCTTTAACTTTTGACCACCAACTAGATTAAGAGATAAAGAAGTTGACAGACCAATAAAGTGAAGGCCTGAGGACTCTTTCATTGAAACTGTTTGGTGAAAGAATCGTTTCGAGTGCGTGAATGCTGGTTTTGAAGGATCACGACGAGCGGCACCTCGACAACTGCAAGGCAGAAACCCCGAAGGCGAGTGTCCAGATATCAAACGAGACAGATACAAAAACAATGGTTTTGTCTTCATAGTAAGCACAGCGCTTTTGCTGACGCGAGTCAACGTGTGGTGGTCACAAAGCAGGTTTGGTACGAGTTCCCGGCTTTCTGCCGAAAGCTACCGCCAACGGATTGCGATGACGCGACCAAAGCAGTTTGGGTTGGATTTCCGAGCGGTAGCTGACCGCAGAAAAGTGGATGAACTTCCAGAGAGCACGGGAATGACCTTTTCCGGGTGGTTGATAAAGGATAACTACCCTTTGGTTTGACGAACTCGTCTCCAAGCAACTTGCCTGCAGTTCCGTATTGAAACATACATATGCACCAACCTTGGGGTGTTGACCAAATTAATGTTAACAATTGTACGCATGCCGCCAACTGCCGACTTTAAAGAACAAGGGGAGGTAACCATTCATTAATTGACCTTTTGATCCTTCAAGCTGGTGGGAGTCAACTTAATGGCCCACATATAGTACTGGATTGCTCAATGGTATTGTCTCTATCGACTGTCTAAATAATAGCCATTGTACCGAGGTAAAATGGGCAGGTGTGGGCTGAAGGCGGGAAGGGGGAGGGAAGGGCGCGGGCGTGGAGTCTAGAACCCCTCGTCCAGAGATACCAGGTGGGCCTTTTGGGTAAACGGTTCGAAGCTTCTGAAAGCACTAGAGCGCGACAAACCACTCAAGGGCTACGTGGACGACAAAGCGCGGTACGTCTGTTATCACTATAACCCATTTTCCAGAAGGAGGATATAGACAACAGGAGGCGGATACTGGATGTCAAGTAAAATCCCACACCTACGTCATTTCCAGTTGTTACTCCGCACTGCATTCCTCTGTCAAGAAAACATATACACTTCTCGCTCATTCAGATAACATGTAATCCATCTCCATAGCCTCTTATCCGCAACGAATTGATTATTCAGTTGTTTGATCATGGTAAGATGGCGTGAGAGCGCATGCCGCTGGGGCCCAACGCATGAAAAGTATTATTCTTCATCCTGTCTCAACCTCTCTTGGTTACCTTCATCTTCCAACACGTATTCTGCTGCTTCAAGGAACTCTGATTTCCCCTTAATATGACGAATGTAAGGATAAACTTCCTGACTAATAATTGATTGAATGAGTTGAGAGAAATAGTGGAAGTCTTACAGAGAATCGAGGTTGATTAGGCGAAAGAATGCCCAGAAAAAATCGTTGTGTGAGAAATCAGGCGTGGTCTAACCACTAAACCCTTCTCTAGCTAGAAAGCCGTTAACAAAGGCTCCTATCAGAGAGGAATGTATGCCATCATGGGGGTGAGGGAGACTAGGGCAGATAAGAAGCATTGCAGGAGGCATAGAAGACGCAAAAGCCTAGTTAATAATACACATTATTTTCAGATCGTCGTCCACAAAAATATTTTGCGTGCTTATATTAGGGTGGTATAGTGGAAAACCATTATAACTAGTCTGTCCATCTTTCTTAGAAAAGAAAGCCATGGTGTCCCTAAGTAAGATACTAACTAAAGTATAATTAAGTTGGTTCTTCCTGCTTTTAATCTTGGATCCCACAGTGGCATAATCGTTCCATTAATTAGTAGCGAGCTGATATTCTTCAAAGCTATTGTACTCCTGAACGATAGGCACTAGAGCATGGAAGAGGTGGTGCTCTATTAGTAGTTCCGCTGAATGAGCAAGAAACGCATCTATAGAGGCCATGTAGAAAGCTTTCGCCTCTAAGAAAGGCCCACGTGTGATGTCCTTATTATTAAATTCGTCCCGGCGCTGCTATACTAGGCTAGGAAATAAGCATTTCTATGGAGTGTAAGAGCTATTATTGTCTATAAAAAGTAAGCTAATTTCACTAAACTGTAAATTAGATAGTGCTGCATGTACACCTCCTAGCTATCTAACGATTTTCCTTTTTTAGGAAGTTGATAAGATCGCTTGTGATCTATTACTAATTCCAGGCAGGCTGCCGTCTTCCTATTAATATGTGCTTAGAGGTACCCTGGAAGCTTTGCTTATTAAGATATATAGGACCTTGATATTATTCTGGTCAGTCACACTATTAAAGTTAACGAAATGATAAGACCTGATAGAAGTAATAGACTTACTAGTAAGAGAATACTTCTGGCACAGTCTCAGAGAGCCGCGCTAAGAGACGGGACGTTGTCGACCAATGGATCTGCCTGGTAAGATTACGGTGATGACGGGATGTCACGTTAGGAACTGGAATCTGGGATGTTCTGGCTGAACAGATTGAAGGTCTAATGCTAGACTAGTTTAGGACTATGATTAGATCATAGATCTGATGCTAACCCTATGAGATGACCTTTAGCAGACCAGCGATCTGACCTGATCAGACCCTGGGTCTGATGGAAGCATAGTATTTAAGGACACTCATTATTATATATAATTAGTTTTAGCTACTATCTATTATCTTCAGAATCAAGCTACCCTACCTTTCAGAACCTAGTTATCCTTCTTAGTATGTTAAGAAGTAGTCTTCTTATTTTAACTTAAGAATACCTTAAGACCTCTAGTCCTAAGCAGGAATGATAGGGCTTATCTAATAATAATAGACCCTTATTTTGATTAAGAAGACACGTCTACCATTAATATAGGTAATAATAAAGGTAAAGTAGCATAGCTTACTTTAGCTTTAAAGAAGAACCTTGTAACCCCTATCCTCACTAATATAGAGAAGATTACTTAGCTTAAATAAGCTATTAGTTACCTACTTATGAAGTATAAGGACCTGAGGCCTAAAGGGGTTGTGATAAGTGTGAAAGGATGTAAAGACACTTAATAAGAGGTATTAAAGATATAATTAATGCGTGAATCAATAGTCAGGTTAGTGTTGTAGATTAACGCTGAGTTACAAAGTTCCTGCCTTCGCGAAGGGAGGATAACGTAATTCCCGGGCGATCGGCGCATCCCGGTCGGTCGGTGCACCTTCAAAAAATATATAATACTTGATGAACTTGAAGCTATCCCTAATAATATAATCCTTAATATTTTTAAATAAACTAAGTTTTATAGTAATTAGGATATTACCTTCTAATATGCCCCTGAATTTAATATTTAGAGCATGTTAGTAGAGCACGTTTTCAGGCTACTAAAGGTTATAAAGTAGATATACGTAGACTCTTCCCTAGCATATTTAAAGTATTATTTCTTAATATAATAAGGTCCCGCGCTTCTAATACTTAAAGGCCTTAATTAGGAGATATATATTATTTAGATTAACTTACTTTTAGCTTCTAAACTTAACTCTTTACGTGTAAATTAGTTAATTCCTTTAGATCTATTATAGTATTATAGATTACTAGTTTATAGCCCTTTATAAGTTTATCTAGCGCGCGCTTTAATAGTATTATAGGACTATAAGAGCCTTTATTTATAAGCTTCTTAACTAAGGAAGCTGTTGGATGGTGGAGGTCATATAATAAAATATATATTATATATACCTAGCCCTTGTATATACCTAATTAGGTATAGTGTGGCAACTATAAGGGTATATATAATAAAGAAGGATTTGCCACTAAATATAGACTTTGGTTTTTGATATTTTAGGATCTCTAGTTTTTAACTAGATACATGAAAGAATCACTTGCTTTTATACTTTTAATATGTATTAGTAGAATTCTATAGAATTATAGAATTCTTATTAATTTATAAGGAGATCAGTCCAGATCTTCTATATTTATAAGAAGAGTAATCGAGACCTTTCCTTATTTTCATGTGAATATAGATACCTAATAATTTAGGTATTAATATATATGCCTTAGGCATCTATCTTCTGATAGAAGCTTTTTAATATAGCTATTAGGGGTTTTTTAGTATTATAAGTATAGAGGAGGTCCCTAAACCTAAGCCTTTATAGGAGGGGGGGAGTTCCTTCTATATTAGGCGCCCTAATAGTATAATTAAAGTAATTAAGGACTTCTTAGGGACTAAATAGAATAGCCCTAGCTATATAAAAGCCACTCTAAATATTCTATATAGTAAAAACTTGCTATTAAGTGCTAGGATAAGCCTTTAAGAAGTCATACTTATTAATATAGTAAAAGCTAAGGTATTACTTTACCTTAATTAGACCCCTATATACTTATTTTAATGGCCTAAAATAACCAATATCTAGTAGTTAAAGTAGGTGAGATAAATAAGTAGGTATATAGATATAAATAATATTATTATCCTTATAAAGCTTATTAAATTAAGGTATAAGATAACTACTATAACTATCTAATATAAGTAATTACTTTAATTAAGTATATATACTTATTAAAGGTATAAAATAGTATTTAAGCTATTAATAAGTAATTTTATTAGTTATCTAGATATTTAGAGAGACCTTAAGGCGCTAATTACCTAGTAAGTTAAGTTCTTTATACTATCCTTATATATAGACCTTCCCTTTAAAGATAATATATAGAGGAATAGTAAATCCTATTTGTGAAGGGCTGAAGCCGGACTTATATTCAATCTAGCTAGGCCACGAACTATATATAAAAAGCTTAGAGAAAGGAAGTTCTCTAGGCACGTTCTTCCTATTAACATGCTAAGGTCACGTGCGCGGGCACTAGCCCGTGTCTAATATTAGGCACTAGCCCATGATAATACCCCCCTCCTAGTCTAAACCTTATAAGGGGCATAATAACGTGGTTATTATTATTAAATTAGTACTAAATTACCTCGTGAGTAGGGCCATGTTATTTTTTAAAGATATCTAGTACTACGTAGTCCTAGATAAAATCTAGTTTTATTTATATCTTACATGCCTATCCTATCTATTTTACTAGCGCTTTATTATAGTATCCTTACCCTATCTTTCTATATTATATAGCTAGAATATATTTAACTTTAAATTCCTCTTCTTTATTAATAAG